GTGCCTGCCTTCTGGTTTCACAGAAGTTAATGAGAATTTTGAGGTTACAAGGTATGAAAATGAGGCCTTCAGCTTGAGGACTTACAGATCAGGATGCTGAGATGGGCATGTAAAATTATGTAAAAATATGAAAAAATGTAAAAATACCAAATAACCACTGTGTATTTCTCATTTTAGTCTCAGAAAACCTGAATCCCCTACACTGTGGGGTTTATTTCAGAAGTGACAAGTCTAGATAGAGGTACCTCTCTTGAGTATTGTCATCCCATATTTAACAGCAGACACCAACTTTGTGGCACTGGGCACACTGGATGTCAGATAAAAAAACCAAATATAGAACATCAAAATACACACGACCTGAATAATTCTGTAATGCCTTCTCTAGGGTTCTTACATCCAACAGTGCCATGTAAATCCTATTTTGTCAAATTTAAAGTGTTTTTTTGACTGGATTGCAGCAAATACTTTTTTAATTTTTTTTTTTTTATTTTTTTTTTTTTAGGAGCAAAGATTAACAATCAACCTCAATAAAGCTGGGAAAAGCTGTTGCTGCTTTCATGCTGTTTGATTTCTGCATACACTCTGTATCACATTAACTGATACAGGGGGACTTAGGAGTGTAACTCCTATTGCAGTTTTGAGAGTTACATGTGACCAACTGGTTTGTGATGTGACTAATACCAGGAGGATTTAAGTGCTTGAAATAGTCACATTTTCATAGTTAGAAAAATACTGTACTACTTGAACAGAAGACCATCTCAAAGGGAAATTGCTCAGACTAGTTCCACTTCACTGCTGGTTAATATGATTTTTTCTGTTTATGACCTGTTTTGTGGTGGTTTGGTTTTTTTGTTTGTTTGGTTTGGCTTTTTGTTTGGGTTTTTAGTTGTTTGTTTGAGTTTTGTGATTGTTTTGGGTTTTGGTTTGGTTGGTTTCATTTGGGTCTTTTTGGTATGAATCGTTCTAACACACTGCTGAAGGTCTGAATTAATAAATAAACAGAATAAAATTAATTTTAATATCTAGACTGAAACAGTATGTTAATAATTTTTTTATTTAGTGCTGAGCTGCATATTATTTAGTACTGCAACTTAAAGTTTCTCCAAAAAAGGCAGTGAACAGAAATGCAGAGAGTGCTGTATGGACTTACTAAAAATGATCTGGAAAAAGGAAAGATCCAAAAAATCAACAAAAAGTAATTGAGATAGAATTTTGCATGATTAGAGAAGAGAAACACAAGTTCTTCCTGGTATGTCTTTGCTCTTCCCAAGCCTGAAGAAAATCTTTTTCCATAATCACAGTACAAAAAGGACTCCTGACTTACAGATGAAATCCAGAAGGAATACAGGTACTGGAGAGGGAGCAATTCTGTATTGATTATTCTGCATGGCGCTGAAATGCAGTAATGGGAGTTTTTAAACTGATATTTTCTATATTGATATAATAATTTATCTTTCTACACTGAGAGAAAATTGACCTGGCTGTGGTAATGGAGAGAGATGTAGATATAGAGGGAATTTGCAGGCAGCGACCCTGAATCAATGCCCGTTTGAATTCTTTCACATTTGCTGTTGGAACAGGCCTAGAACAACTAATAGGTAAAAAAACACCACTTTCAAAGGTGATCCAGAACTACTTTTGAGTCTAAATGAACTTTAACTATGTATATTTAGCAGCTTTACCACGAATTTGCTGACCTAGGAAGAGGTAAGATGCAACAAACAGGATACAAGAATTCCCAGCAAGCAACATAGCTGAATAATTTTCTTTTCATTACAAGGGATTAGCATCATGTCTGTTGTCAGATGCTATATCTGAACTAAAACATGGGATATTATTAAACTGTTCGAACATAAAAGATTATTTGATCGTATTCCAAATTTAATCTGCATCCATCTGTATGTTTTTTTACATCTCTTTCATCCTACAGCCCTCTGTAGAGTCTGTATGGATGAAGGAATAATGCTACTGCTGTTTAAGTTCATTCAGTCTCCACTGATTTATTCAGATCTTTTTTGTGAGAGCAAAAAGTATTATCTAAGTTTCCAAACTATACAGCATGATACAGTTTTAGCAGCATATAGGCCTTTCATATTTAGCAAGACTGGTTCTCTCTGCCATTTTTATTTCACCTGTTCCTACCCTTAGTTCTTTTAGTGAACGGTACATTTCCTTTGTTCCCACTGCTTAGGTTTTTTTTAACTTGCACTTTTTTTTTGAGCTTTATTTCAATTTAAGAACCATTTCAAATGTTATTTTTATGATCCTTAATTCCTGCCTCTCTGTCAGTATATATCTCACTTCTGATTTGATCCTATTAATGCCAAGAGAAAACCCATACAGTACTTGTCATTTCAGATTATTGGAATTAAATCACTTCTAAGTGCAGTAAGTGCAACCCAAGTACTATATTGAACTTCCCCTACACACACAATGTTCTTTTTAATACACAAAGAGAAAGACAGAAAAATATCTTTAGATCAGGCTATAAACTAGGGAGTAGAATACAATGAAGGTTCAGAGACATCTACTAGAGATGAATGTATGAAGTTCTTCCATAGCATTCTGAAAGACTAATTTTCTTTTTTATAGTAACAACCTATCTATTCTTTTCATTACTATTTCCTACCTCCCTCCTTGTTGAAAGAGTCTGTCAGTAAATTCTCATATTGGGGTGTGGAGAGAGGAATGAACCAATTACCAGTAAGGAAAACATTTTAGCAATTAACAAACTGGCTATATTTTCAGAGTGATTTTCTTCCACAATGTAAATAGCACCGTTCCCAGCACACCATGCTCATCAATGCAGAATACTTGATAGGAAGTAATAAATGCCCCCATAGCTGCTTGAGCACTGGTATGCAGCTGAGTGATTTGATAAAATCAATAGTAATTTACTGCAAGTGTGTGCCAGTGCTATGGACATTATTCTTTTTACATAAGTGAGAAAAGAAAGAACACATCCTAAAGAAAAAAAAAATAAAAAATAAAATCAGCATTTGATTCCCTGAAGAGATTTTACAAGGGCTCCTGGGATTTTTAGTGCAATGTTCATGAGTTTGTCACTATTGATGTACTAGGAAGAAAAGTTTTCCAGCATAATTCTGGGAGAAAGGACTGTCCATATGGGCCCACTGATCCTCCTGTGCACACACATTCACCAGGTGTACTTGGAAGCATTTGGCTCTTGCACTGATCAGCTCCAGCTCCAAGGCTGGGCATGGACTCCAGCTGCATGTTTTGGTTACTGATATGTGGATGTGGTTTCCTTGGGCAGCACAGGGTGAACCTTCTGCAGCCACATATTCAAAGCAGCTGCACTCTGATGCATTACTTGGCTTGCCAGGAGATTGAGTTGGCTACTCCAGTCAAGCTAAGCAAGAACCAACAAAGTGTCAACCAAGAAATGTGAATACCATTCACATAGATGTACTACCTATGTCTGTTGGGTCCCCAAACCCCAACACCTGGAATACAGCTTGAGTGATATTGAGAAAATTCATGTTAATGCTAAACTGATGTTGAGACCAAAATCCCAGAAAAAAAAGGCAGAAAGAAGCATATAAGCCAGTCTTCCATGCTATAGTGTCCTTTGAGAGGTGCTGATTGCTCTGCCTCAGATGGACTTTACAAGTTTACCGCTTCATATGATTCCTTTAGGGAATGATGCAGGAGACAGAGCCCCCTAAACAGCAGGTGTAAAGCCCAGAGAGACTTTTTTGCTGTCTGTAGTGCTTCCTCCATTTCTAAACAAGGCTGCCTCATGGACAGCATGGCATCCCAGCATCTCCCCAAGGCTTACTTAACATCCTGAAATCAGCTGCCTGACAGCTGAAGAGCTACTTGTTCACCTTTATTTGCAAATTGACAGTTGTTGGTAGACTGCCATTTTACTACAGGGAGGTCGGAAAAAAATGCAGCTACGGTGATTTTTTTTTTCTTCCAGGATATCTAGGATACAGAAGTGGCTAAGGAAAAAAAGCAATTATCAAATCTATTTTTAGACAAAAAGCAAGTTTTAAATTACTTTTTTTTTCTTCCCCTTCTGCGTTTAGGTAGTTTTGTGTCTAATTTTGTGAATCAATAAATGATATTTATTTGAATATATAAATCACGTTATTTTCTTTAGACCATGTTAAATGCCATGAGTCATAAAGCGTAACAGAGTGTAAATCCCACTAGTCTTCCAGAAGAAAAAAATTCGGAGAGGCTATTATTTGCAGGTGAGACAGGTCTGAAGGAAGTGTTTGTCTTCCACTGGCCTGTATTTGGTGAGATGAAGGTTCCATTCCACCCTGATCTAAAAAGCTCCAACCTTCTCACCAGCACACTGCTACCTTCAGCTGAGTCAGGAGAATGGCTCAGAATAATGCTCCTCAGCTACTGCAATTTAGAACCAACAAGGCTAATTTAACAGTTTTCCTTGGCAGCTGAAGGTAAGCTTTAACTTACTTTACTCTCTGGCAAGGAGCACTCCTGCTGCTTACTGTGCAGGATGCAATGGAGGGCAGCAACAAATCACTGAGAAGACAAACTGCCACAGCCATTTCCTCAGCTACTGACAGAGCAGATCCTCCACTGAATTTCACTTGTCAACTGAGCAGTCACCCATTCGCACCTCTTCACTTATCTCCTGGCAAAAGAGATTTTTCTTATCTTCCCAGCTGAAGGAACAAGGCAAGGGCTGAATCTCCAGCATTTTACTGCCACAGCTGATAGGTTCATCATACTTTCCTCAAAGAGTTCAAGCTATTTGTGCATCACCAAAAGAGAAGAACAACAAACAATTCAAAACCTGCTAGCACGTTTCCAAACTATTAACTGAGCAGTTATTCAAACCCACTTGACTGACTTACAGAACAACTGTTTTCTCACTGTGGTACCCAAGCATATTTAAAGCCAATTTAAATTTTCCAGTAGGAACAAAGAGTTAATAAAGAATGCAGTATGGAAAGTGCTGTAAGCCTATAAGTACATACCTCCTCTGTCTGCCACGGGTAAATGATGTCTAATTATACCTTTTCATCAGGCTGTTTTCCAGAGCACTCCTGTTGTATTTATCATTTTTGAGCTGCCAAAAGCAAGGAATCAAGCTGTGAACTTCTTGTCTTTCTGCTTGTGCTGCCAGAAGGGGACATTAGGTGCCTCTTGGCAGTTGCCTCAGTTCCTGTTGCTACAGGATGAGAAAAAACATCCATACTGCTTCCCAGCTACACAATAAACCTCCTCCACTGCTTACTCCCTTCCTCCTTCACCATCATTGCTAATGCCACATCCCAGATCCCTGCCCTCCTCGCCAGCTTTGCCTAGAATACTAAATTAAATTTGATGATGTTGGGTTATCCCACTACAGGTTAATCATATTAAACACAAAGACCCTGCACAGGTCACAGAACTGGCAACAGGTGGAGAAACCCCAGTAATGTGGTCAGTGAGGAATGAAGGACACCTGAGCACAATGGTTACCCCCACTGGGAAACCCTCCAAGGTGACCCAAGGAATGAAGCTCCCTCCAGAACACCAGGGAAATGAAAAGGAATTACTGCCCAAAGGGATATAGAACTTACTGTAGGATGCCAGATGGAAGAGTTTTCAATGGAGCAGAAAGAAATTGGGGATAAATACAAAATTTCTTGTGGGATTTTTTTGAGTAAGGGACACAGAAGGGGAACGGGAGAAAATAAACCAGAATGGATAAATCTGTAATCACAAATTAATTATCCCTAAACAAAAAGTTTTACACACAAGTAAGATTTAGAAATGTGGCCATAGACCTCATTACTGTATTCATGTTCAATAAAAGATGAATTCCCCAGCAGCAGCACAGAAAACGTCCAGTGAAGCTCTACAGCAGAGTTGCTGTCTAGAACTTTGTGTGGTTGCAACAGCCACAGCTTCATCACCTAAATTAATTATGCTCTTCAATGGCACATTTATTGGGATATTTGATCCACAGTAAAGTGAGAAATTCAAGAAGTAAAGGTTAAGATATGCACTGCAGTGCAGAAACCAGAGGCAGGAATTCAGGTAGGGCTTAAATGGAGTGAATTCAAGATGCTTTCACACTCAGCTCCAAAGACTGAAGGATGAGTGGGAGGAAAGATTTTGAATATTACCTGTTTTTCTAGAAAGGCTGAAATCTGAGAAACCCCCACATGAAGGCTGAGGAGTTTCTAAGTGGATTTTAGACATTATTAATTTTGCAGAGGTCAGGGAGTCCCTTGTTTTTGAAGTAAGATTGCATTTGAAGAGAACTCTGCAGTGGCAGCTAATCTAGCAATTACCTTCCTGATTACTTGTAAGAATATCTAAATGATGCCTCTCTCTCCCATGATTGCTCAAAAGGGTAGAACAAGCTTGTTTCAAGGTGAGAAAATTTGATCCTTTCCGGATAAGAGAGGTAAAGAGAGACAAAAGATTTTACAGAGTATGAAGTTGGTTAGGGAAATATGCCTTAAGCACCTGGAGACAGCCCCAAGGGAACCAGAATAAGCTCCTTTGAATAAATCACCAGCAGTAATAGGTCTGCTTCCTTTAGCAAAATGACTTTTAGGATGAGTTGTAAAATGGAAAGATTGAATGATATTGAGGTGTAACTTACCCTAACTATCATTTAGCTAAAGTCAATATCTTGAATATCACCTTATACAAGTATTTCTAAAAGTTTTTAATCACTTCCATGCTTGATGGAAAGGAGCAGAATGGTGATGTCTGTACAGAGAGCTGCTGTCAGAAATGGTAGCTGGAAGGCTGCATTAACAGAAACCACTGTTCCTTGATGACCATCTATTCTTCCCTCCCCTCAGGACTGTGGAAAAGGTACTTTAGATTCATAGATGTGGCAGCTAAAGAAGCAATTACCATCATCTACTCCGACTTCATGCCTCCCACAGGCCAAAGAACATCACCCAGGAGTTCTTACTTTGTGCTCATAATTGTTGAGCTATAATGTCTTTTAGAATGCTAACTACTTTTGATTTAAAGACTTCAAATTATCACGAGCCATCCAAAGAAACTAAATTAAAAGTTGGACTTTATAATGGCCTCTAATATATTTTTCATTCAGTCCATTTGTGGGCAAGAGTGCTATTAGCTTGAGGTACAACTGTAGCCAGTTATATTACTGACAGGGGATTTATGCTCAAAGAAGTTACTCAAAACATTTGACAATTTCCCAGGCAGTCAGTGTAAAGAATGCCTTCTGGTATTACATGAGCACATCTATTTAAATCAGAAAACAATATTTTTACTGAACTGTGGCAGTCATTTTGGGGAAATTGGTTCATACATCTTGCCTACATGTTTTAAGTATGGATATGAACTGTGAAGATATTGCTCTGTTTTTGTTAGAATATGTAGAAATATATTCTGGAAATATGCTTCTGGAAATATTTCTGCTAGCTGTTAAGAGCTCTGCCTCTGATTTACTCTGGATACATCACAAATATGTGCATCAGTTTTCCTGTCAGTTGGAGGGATATCATGACATTTACCATGCACAGATAAGAATATACTTCTGACTGTTAAATTATCCTCTATTTTAATTAGAGATATTGGCAATGTAGTAATACTATGTACCACTTTCACAGTATTCACTTGTCTTCATGAATAAATACTCTATTAAAATACTAGATTAACTACAAAAATCTAAAAGTTCATTGTAAAGCTGAACTGCCATTAAAGAACAGCCTATAACCACACCACACTCATGTCATTATATATTCAGCATCAAAATATGTCTAGACTTTGCAAAACTCCATGCATGACTTCCTAATGAAACCTTGCAAACATTTTTCCTCTGTCAGAAAGTTTTGTTCATCTAGAAAAACAATGACACCAATGCCATTAACATCAATCCATCCTGACAAAAACTTTTATTAAGCATATCTTGTTTAAACAGTAACTTCATTCATCACAATCATGAGGGGAAAAAAAAGCTAAATCATCAAAATGTAATTTTCTTACTTTTTAGTTGTTAAGAGCAAGCTCTTAGAATATGCTTTATAACTTTACTTCTTATTTGAAATGAAACCTGTTTTTACTTCTTTTCAGTGACAAACAATATACTCCTCTATGGACATTTACATTTAAATCTCCTTAAATGATTTTTGAATTTTATCTAATCTCCCTTTCCTGCCAATAATCTCAGGAGTCAACACTTCCATAATCCTGCTACTGAGAAAATTCATAAGAAGCTCAAAAAGTGATGCTTGATCTGTAAGTCTATTAGTATATGCACAAATGCATGCTTATACACAGAGAGCTACTTCAAACCATCCCTTTCAAATACAACTCTAGTAGTTCACTAAATCATGGAACAGAAATGAATGAATGCTATACTAAGCACAATGAGTTCAAGCTGTGAGAGTTTTAAGACTTATAGATACTCAAAATTAAGCACAAATCAAAGTGTTTGGCTTGAAAAAGCTCTTTAGTAAAAAGAAAAGGTAAGAAAGAATAATATTTTTAAGTTCTGATCTGAAGTCCACTGACATTAATGGAAAGCTTTATGCTGACTTTAGCAGGCTTTGCAGTAGGCCCATGCTTTTTATCTTGAAATCTCCAAGTAACACCTGAATAGATCTTTAAGACTGACAATTCAGAGTGACAATCAAAAAAATAAATCCCAGTGATGTTTCAGAACTGACACACAGGCAAAGTGAAATAAACCAGTTGTCCCTAAAGAGTGTTTTCAGATTTTTGCCATAAACCCCTTGCAGCAGAACTAGTGCAGACCTGGGATCACATGCAGCACCCAGCTTTTAGTTCTCTTAAAGGAAAATTCATGGTCTAAAGGCTGGGTGCATGCTTTGGGTGGCCCTGGTGCATAATGCTGCCTCCCACATTCTCATGAGAACTCAGGTAATAAAAAATGCTCCAGACTGCCAGACATTAACCACGTGATTCACCCACTGTGAGTCATCCACTGCAATCTTGAATGTGAAAGATGTACTTCAAATGTTAAACTACTGATTCTCTCCCTCCCTCCTGAGAGATACTCTCAGCTCACTGGTGTTCATAAATAATAAAGGAATTTCAGATACGCCACAGTCAAAAGTGGTTACCTTACAGAGGAAAGTGAAAAGATAAAACACATGGGAAAAAAAACCCAACCCAACTGTTTATTTAAATATTTGCAATATGCTTTATTTTGTCAGAGTCTCAGGAAAAAAGATGCTTTGCATTTATGGCTATGCTGACATCCTCTCTTGGATTAGACAGTTAGATGTCCATCTGAAGAATACATACAATATTCCTTAGATAAGAGGTTGTGACATAAAAAACCTGACATTTAGATGTCTAAGTTATTAGACACTAGCTGAGTAATATGATTATTTTCAATGTTTTAAACTAATGAATCATTTAACACACAAATCTTATGAACTTAATCAAATAGTTCTGTACAGATCTCGTTGTGCAACTTAAATGCAGCATCAGATGAGAGAAGAAGGGACAATTTTATGCCCATTCAGTGTATATTCTAATTCATTAGCTCCCACTGGTGAGGGTACTTCTCTTCCTTCAGAAGCTCTTCTCTGTATTCTATGAACACTGTGCAAGTTACAAATGTATTCACCTGTCTGTACTTGCTGTACTTTTTAGCAAACACCTGAGAAATGCAGTTCACTCATTACAATGGAAAATTTGTTTCTGTTCCCTTCTTAGAACAAACTTAAGAGAAACTCGGTATAAAGGAACACATATGGTTCTGAGTCCATGTAACAGACTGAGGCCTAACTACACTGTCATCATTTGCTCCTTGCAGTCAAGCATCATAGTTTTTAGATTAATGGTGTAAATCCCAAAAGCCAGTTTGAGATTGCCAACCTGGATTTTGCCACATTTCGCTTCCAGATACAGACAAACAGACAAAAACTTTGAGCAAGATTCTTATTTCAAGAAACTTTTGCACCAGCTCAGTTCCGTTCTAGTTAACAGTGGTAGTCCTCATTTACCCCTTTGTTAATGCTAGAATCAAGGCCTTTCATTTAAAAGTATTGCCTTGTAATTAGGTAGTCACGCACATGTAGCTAAAACCAAAATCATAATACTTTATGCTGAAACATATAATTGAAGCTAGGACTGGGTCATGTGTTCAAAAGCCACCTTTTGTCTTTTATACAAGTATTTTTAGACTTTTCTAGTATGCAAATATACAGATGTGCCTACACTGTTGTACTTTGCTGAATGCGTTGTGTCAGATGAAACAAGTGCTGCATCTTTTTAATTAAAATGCTTAACGAGAGAACTGTAAAGCTTGTGGGCACACAGTTAATATGTGGGTTTAAAGGTCATATTTGTACTGGTGGGAGGAACTGGTTGTGCTATTGAGATCCATATTTTTCTATGAGGCAAGAGGGCTGTTGCAAACCCTGAAGTGAAGGATAGTTTGAGGGCAAGAACATGAGAGTGACAGAACTACCACCCTGTTCATAAACTGACTTCTCCCACACCCTGGGCTCCATCCTGCCTCCTAAGGGTGCAAACCTAAGGGTATTTGAGAAACAAACTTGGGAAAAGTTTGCTTTTACCTTGGCCCTTAATCATTTGCTTGGTAATGCAGGCATTGGGTTTTCTACTCAAAGTTATTTTTATATAGAAATGCTTAAAAAAAATAATCTGAATTGGCAGAATATGGAGGATTCAGGAATGAACACAGTTCAATGAAAGGCTTATTTAAGAGAGATTGCTTTACTTCTGCCTTTTGTACTCATTTTCACTAGAATATCAACAAAATTTTTAGACGTTTTGTTTCCTTTTCCTTGAGAAACAAATGAACAGTTAATTGCAGTCTCAGTTTTAAAAGTTCAAAATATTTCTGGTGGCTTCATACAGCCTTCAGATCCATTTTTAATATTTTGTAAGCATAGAATTACATGAGTTTCAGTGGAACTTACATGAGAGGAAGTGAAAATTAGATCAGAATGTGGCCTTGGTCTGTTTAAAGAAGGTGCTTCTTAAGAGCAGTTCTTTTAAGACAAAGCTTCAGAGAAATACTAATCCCCACTCAATTTTACCATTTTGTTTCCAAAATCCTCTAAGGTGATTCTCCTGTTTCTCTCAGGGTCTGCCTTAATCTATATCCTCCTTTTAATTCTGTATTTTCTGCATCATTCTTTCTGCTTTGCCTCATAAGATCTCTTACTGCTTTGTTCATTCCTTCTCAACACGTACTGGCTGAAAGTAGTCTCCCTCTTTCTTTCTACCTCATTGATTCTCTAACCCCTTCCAAAACATATCCTTGCCTTCTCCTTTGTCCACAGTCCTTAATTCTTTTTGTCCCTCTAATGTTAATTTTTAACTCTACCAATTTACTCTCTCCAGCCACTCTGCAGAGCACTCCAGGACACAGCCAGACAAAAAGACATACATAATATAATAGATACAGGCATGCCTTCCACTGCTTGAATATGAAACACTTTGAAATCAGCTGGAACTGTCCCTGGATGATGGTTTTGGGCCCACACACAAAATAATCCTCCTGCCTTCACTCAGTCTCCATGGGACATGGTTACTTTGCATTGTACTTATGATTCCCTTTCTGTGAGCACTTTTCTACTTGTAAAATCAGCCACTGAACACAAATGAATACAGGGTATTAGCTAATTTTAGTAAATTACTTTTCTTATTTGCTATCATTTCATGCTGAGGTTTCTTTAACATGAATTTTTGAATCCAGCTCTTTTATTTTTAATTTAAATTAGATTTTTGGACATAATAGTGTTTCTGGGAAATGTGCCTCTGTGTTAAACTTTGATGACTTTAGGCTGGGAAAGAGTGGAATGTGTTGACTGGAGTTCTAATGAGCATTTCCCCAGCAATGCAAGTGCCAACAAGCAAATCCCAGGTCATAAAAATGCCAGTTCCCCTCTGCTTGAGATAATACGAAAATGTGTAAGTTATCAAAATGTATTTGTAGATGGAATTGTTTTGGAGTAAGAAGAATCAGAGGGAAAATATTTTGAAACCACGTGCACCCTCTTCTCTTTTATAACATGGTTCCTTTAAACCAAAGATGTTCGGAGTTTATGTAGGCGTGTGGGTTTCAAAAGATCTCTTTATGTCACTGGAAAGGTTGCCAACTGTTCTGTTAGGTTGGGAAAGGAGAATCACTGTGACACCTCTTCCAAATAAAATGTGTTTAATCGATCTGGGCCACCTACGGTGTTCTGATCTTCCCAGGGTGCAAGGCAGCTCAGAACACACACCAGAATTGCTGCTGGTTTATGGTGGTAGCTAACTGTTGAGTGGTTAGCCACAAAAAATTTAATATTTTTGATATAGACTGCTTACAGTCGAATCATGCAGCAGTTTGGCTGACTAGCAAATGTTTTTCCACACCCGTTACACACCTACAGCAAGAGAAATGGAAAAGGTGCTAAGGCGAGTAGTGAAGATCTTTTTACAGTGACACAGAAGTTACACATTCACAGTTATTATCAGCTCCTTTTCCTCGAGGAGAAGGCCAAGTCTTTCACTTAGGGATTAAACAAGGCTTTATTTAAAACCAGTGAAAAGTAAATATCCAACCCCTGCTTTACTATTTCCAGGGGATTTGAGCAGCAGACTGTAAATGACACCAAATGACATCTTAAGGGGGCAGAACAGTTATTAAATACATGCTGTGGAAAGAAGGTTTTTTTCTGTTTCAATGAAAAATTTGAAGGAGTCTATTTGCTATATCAAATAGTATTATTAGTAACACAGCCAAGGGAAATTAAATAAAAGTCCTTTTAAAAAATTACTTTTCATGGGAACTTAGATTAAACACAGGCTCACTTTGTCTTCAGTGAAGGAGTATTTTTTTGTCAGCTGAGAAACACTTGTTTATGGCAGCAATAAACTGCTTATCCAAAGAGACAAAAATCAGCTCCAGGAAGGACAATAAGAGGAGCTAATTGACACTCTTCCCCCAAGCTAAGAGTAGCAAGGAAGGAGCTGTGGCTGAGTCACAGTTTCTGTTCTGCAGCTGCAGAGGTAGCTCACCATTAGCATATTGTGATGCTGTGCTCTCATGTCTGTCTTCAGCCAGAGCATCCTGCCTGCTCCCCATGAGGTGCTGCCTCGCAGTACTGCTTAAATAAAAGGAAATATTGTCAAAACAGTATAATAAGCGAGCTCGTTAGTTTAATCAGCATAATTTGAAAGTTTCCTTTAGTGTTGTGGTTTTTTGTTTTTTTTTTTTTTTTTTTTTTTTGAGAACTGGTCGCTTAAATCAGAACTGTGAGATAAGATTGTATAAGAAAGAGCATGCAAACAATGATGCCTTGATTGGGTGTGCTGTGCAAAATCCACATGAGGGCACGTGATGCTCCTACTCTGCTCTTACCCTACGTACGAGATATAGTAATTTATAAGAAAAGCCTTGTTATGGTTTGAAAGCCCAGGAAAGAGATTAGCCATCAAGAAATTTAGCAATTTTTTCTAGGAAGCCTGCAATTTGGAGGTGACCAGAAGCTTCTTTTTAGAAGGGCTAAAAGGGTAACAAAAAAGACATCTCAAAGCACCTTCTAGATCTTTCTCTCTGTGTAAGCTTTAGCTGTGAATGATAACATTTGCTTTGAAGCAAATTACAGTCGTATTAATTAAGTCAAACTTCAAAGCACCACAACCACTTTAGTGACTGTGGTTCATATAAGAATTTCATTAGAGGGATTGAGCATTTTTTAAATAGAATAAAATATGAAAGAAGTTGCAGAGGTTTCACACAAAGCTGCAGTCCATAGCTGCATTTCCTGCTATTTTCTCCTAGTCATGGTCCTCAGCACTCTCCTGCTCTAGTCACATCATTAAAGATCGTATTAAACAAATGTACACAGGGTTCATGAGCTAAGGTGGAGAAAAACAAGAGTCAACCCAATCCATATATGTATAAATGCTTTTTCTTCTGGAAGAAAGACCATCCTTTGTTTGGCACACTACAACTATCTCTCGAGAAGGTGGCTGTCTTTAGTTCCTGTTTATGTGAACAAGAACACAGTATGGGATATGTGAAAAGAGGATAACAATTAAAAACACATGTTGGGATAAGCCTAAGCTTATCTTTTAGGTTCAACTGTTCATTGAATGTATTAGAAAGGTGCAAGGTTATGAGTGTCTATTTTGTCAGGAAATTTTACTCAGCCTCCTTCCTAAGGAATTCATGTTGGCTTTTTATTGTTATTCTGAGTCTCAGTTCAGATGGAGAGACAAGGTTCATTTTCATCTAACCCTAAAATTTCCGTATCTGTTAAAAAAAAGGCCCAAAAAACTGCTGTTTTCCTGGTGTCTGGAAGGTGACTAATGCTTGCACAATGTCCATAGTGTGTATAAAAATCTTAATAATTTTATTTTCTTCTATTTTCCATAAACATGGCCCTCACTTAAGTATTTTGCAACAGCCTTCTAGGTATCATAATTAAAAGCTGAGTTACCATTGCTAATTCTGTAGGATTGACATAATAGAGGAGGATGTGGATATTTTCTCTGGTGGTGATACATCTGTCAATTACTTTACCTATCTTCCCCAGTCCATTAAGCTTTTAAAACAACAGAGATAGAGGGATTTAAAATGGTTACCTCCCAAAAATCCCATCTGGTCAGGTTTAGAATTTAGTTTGTACCACATTAACTCCATTTTAAATCTGTGTGGCATTTTCTTGCTGGGTATTAACCACTTCAAACACAGGAGTGTCAAAATGGTAAAGTAACTTACTGTTTTTGATACTCTGCACTGAACAATAAATTCCTGGATAGCATATTTGTATGGAAAGAGGCTTCCACAGACAGCAATAAAATTTATAGTCCCTTTGCAATTGTATTTAATAGCTGGTACTTGCAATAAAAAAATGGCAGTGAGGCTGAAGAGGTATCTAACAACTGAAATGAGGGAAGAGCAATTTTCCTAGTACTTTTCTTTAATGTCAGAATAAAGAATTTGGCAGAAAAAACCAAACCAAACTAAACAAACAAAAAAACCCCTCTCAACCAACAAATAAAGATCCTATGACCTTAAATAGGCACACTAATAAATCAATTAGAAATACAAAACCAACTTGTGATTCTTTTCCTGAGAAAAGCCCAGTGAGCTTATTCTACCATTAATAGTTGATTAGTTGTCCTTGTGTTTTGACTTTGTGGAGAGGCTATGAATTCAAGACTGGGGTAGGAAAAAATGGAGGAAAATAACTGGAAAAAAACCTAGGCCACAGTATGAAGGCTTTTTTTTTTTTTTTTCTCTTTAATATTGCAAAATTTTGGTTCGCTGACTGTAAGCGAGAACAAAATCTTTGTACATGGGTAGATCACAAAATAATTTGGGTAGGAAGTGATCTTTGGTGGTCATCTGGTCTAACCACTCAAAGCAAAGGGAACTGAAGTTTGATGCAAGTTCAGATGAATTGAGGCTGCTGAGGGCACTGACATTTGAAATTCTCCTGGGGTGGGGATTGCACAGCCTCTCTAGGAGATGGATCTCCCTATTGCATAAGAATTTCCCATGTTGCAGCTGTGACTGTTCTTTCCTGTCCTTTCACTCTGTATCTCTAAGAACACTCTGACTCCAACTTCTCTGTAACCATTCCTTAGGCAGCTGAAGTCAGATGATTTCTTCAAACTGAACAAACCCAGCCTTTTTGTGCAATCTTTATTCCTTATATGCTACATTCTCCGAGGCACCAAGTGCCTCTTACTGGACTCATTCCTGTTGGTCAATGTATCTTATGGGCTGGGAAGACCCAAACCTGGTACTGTATTAGATGAAGGTTCCCAAGTGCTGAATAGAGGGGAATAAGCACATGTTTCACCCACCTAGCTGCATTCTTATAAATGGAGCCAGAATGCAGTTAACCTTCATGCCATAAAGGCATACTGCTGATAATGTCAGGCTAATATTGGAGGATAAGCAGTAAAATGAAAATTTAATTTTACCATTATCCACAGTGTTGTTAGGATCCAGAATTTAGGCCAACTCACTACCCAAGGACAAATTTTCAAGCTGGTAATGTACATACATATTGTCTACACAGTGTAGGTGTGACAACAAAGAAAATTCAAATTTTTTAGTTCTAGACCATCTTCCTTCAATAATAGGAAATGCAATCACAGAGGGCTAATTCCAAACTTTTTGGAACATCCTGTGAGATACTGAGCTCCCTCAACTCTCACAGACTGAAAATGGTAAAGAATAAACACATAGGAAGACCTGCCTTTGACGACCAAAATTGAGTTTTCAGTCCCAAATGGAATTACTTCTCCTTCTCATTCTGTCTTCTTTGAGCTTCCTACATGACTTTTTCCTTTAAATTCTTTATTTGGGAAGACATGATACTTAGAAACACTTCTGATTGCTTCTAGAATTCATGATAAAAGATCTGGTTTTGAGGGGAGCTTTTATTTTTTACAAGCAAGAGGAGTAATTCAAACAAATTTTAATAGCTACCTTCTTTCTATCTGCTTACAATATGTTCATCTGTTCCCCAGACTTTAATCACAAATGTGCCAAGTGTATAGTGCAATAGTTAGATGAAGCACACACTGGGGGAATAACAGAATCAATGTGCTTAATCTGTTCTTAATCCTCTCTTGTGCGTAGGAGACCTGCCTGTGCTGCTGTTCCACACACAGACACAGGGGCTGATGTGATTTATGCAGGTCTAGTTATGCAGCCAAACCTTCATTCAAAGAGACTCAGAAGCCATCAGAAGGGAAGGGGGAGAGGCAAAAGAGAAATTGTGGTAATTATTTTTACTGTCTGAAATTCAAGAGAGGCATCTATTAGCAACATAATGTATGGAGCAGTCAAGAAAGAAAGAAAGATGTCAGCATTTTTATGTTTCTGCTAAAAATGTGCCTGAGACTTTCTCTACTGCAACAGCTACAGACTTAGATCAATGCCAGTACTGTCTAGGATCCATCTGGACTGGCAGTCCCAGGCAGGTGACCAAATGAACCCAACCCTAAACCCTTTGTGGGTGCTGTTCCATCTCTCTCAAGCAGCCACTCCCCTTCTGCCAGGCACACAGAACTGTGCCCTGCTGCTCTCAAGTGCCCCTTATTTAGATGCCCTCTCTGTCAGAGTGCAGGAGCACAGACCTGATGAACAGTGCACACCCCAGTTCAACGTGGCACTGAGAGCTCAAGGACTCCATCTGAACAAGGCAGGTATTTTAATTCACAGTTTCTCTGTGACTACTTTTTCATTTCAGTGCCAACTCAGAAAAGCATTTAAGCAGTTCTTAAACCACAAATGCTCAAAAACCTTGTAAAAATGCTCCACATATCCAGAAAAATGTGTGCCAAAAGTTGAGTACACACCTCTTGGAACTGGGTGACCCAGACACATTCTCAAGTGCTCAGCTGAATTAACAGCATG